CTGTCTGTCTGTCTGTCTGTCTGTCGGTCGGTCTGTCTGTCTGTCTGTCTGTCTGTCTGTCTGTCTGTCTGTCTGTACGTATGTCTGTCTGTCCGTCTGTCTGTCTGTCTGTCTGTCTGTCTGTCTGTGTTTCTGTCTGTCTGTCTGTCTGTCTGTATGTATGTATGTATGTATGTATGTATGTATGTCTTATGTGTGTGTATGTATGTATGTATGTATGTATGCATGTATGTATATATATATATAGTAATCATACACATATAGCCATTTTTCACGAAGCCAGGTCGGCCCCCGCACACAATCCAGCTCGAAGGCGGACGTGTGGGGTGCCGGTGGCGGAGGCATGGAGAGCTTAAGGCTTACAGGGTCGGAAAAAGGGTCTTTCGTTTTAGGGTCTAGGTTCTAGGATTCCGGGTTTAGGTGATTTTCCGCAACAGACGGTTGCATCTCGCACCATCGCCGAGACCATTCCTCCGGCCAAGCCCGTCGCCATTCCGCGCGTGATTTTTTGACCGTCGTTGTCGTTTGGTGTCCATGCTTCGGCGTTGGTTAGTTTCCGGGACTTGTTGGTCACAGTGTTGGTACTTGAAGGTCCTGCCGCAAAGCGTCCGAAGCTAGCCATGCTATTCAGTCGTCGCATAACTGACGAAGCTTCGTCAGAGACGAAGCTTCGTCAGAGAGGAGCTTAAGATTCAGCAGAGATTACGATTTTGGCAGGCACAATGTCTAGGTAAGCTGTATCGTGATAGTTCAATGGTTTCGGGTTCTGCCATTTCTACAAGGTGATTCCGGCATCGGCGAGTCCTTCGGTGATGGTGGAGATGATGGCGAGGAGAGCGACGATGACACGCTTGTCAAAAATCGCTTGGCGCAGGTGTTCTCGCAAGCGCCCGACATTTTCAACAGATAAGTCCAGAAGCAAGGCTAAACGTCAATACAGTCTTGCAACATACTTCGCAGACGGTGTATGTTGGCGAAACCTGGAAGGTTACACCTGTTCTTAATTACTACAACCCATAGATGTCAAAAGCCCATGCACCGTTATGCCACGTCCGGAAGTTTACATAGCCCTCACACAATCGCGGCCGTGGAAACATGCCTCAAGTTTGTGGTTCCTTGGTGTTGCAACATAGCATCCAAAATAGGCAGGCGGATTCGCTTGACCAGTAGTGGATACGCTAGAGGCAGAGTCTCCAGCAAGGACCGCGCACTTTCGAATTCTATTTTCCGCAATCCTGTACGGGATGCCTATGTAAAATAGCGCCCGTGGCTGCTGCCAACGGGTGTGTCGGGTAACTGAGGCCCTGTGACCTTCCAGCCCCAGTTGTAAAGCCCAAAGGGCTTTCAGGATCGAAATCCACTTACTCGTAGAGGCCCCAAAGGCCCTTTAGCCCAAAGCCCCAAACGGAGGCCTTCCGGGCTCAAGGCCCCAATGCCAAAGAAAGACCGCTCCCTGGAGCAGATTGCGTCTCCTTCGTGACATTGTGCGTGGCGGTGGGAAAGACAACCGGGTGTCAGTGTTTAGGTTTAGGCTGTGTTTAGGCCGCTACCCGCCCTGCAGCCACAGAGCTGGGTCGCATCAGCCTCAGCTGTTGCGCGCTTGTCCCTCATGTCCCGAAACCCTCCGCCCTCCCATAGAATTTTTCGCATCAGGATGTCAAGGCTACATCGGTCCGTTTTGTGCTCTCGTAAGCTTTGTGTCGTAAACCTACCACGCGTGAGCGTTTTTCATATGGCCAGGCATGGGAACAGCGCCGTCTGCCTTCGACGCAGAATCGGCTCAATCCACTCGCTTCCTTATTAGGTACCGTAACTACATCTTCCGTGCCTTGTGTTGGGAACTCAACCAATGGCTGGGCGCCCAGCAGTGCAGCATGATGTGTGGGTTGAAAAATCGCCACATCCATATACCACTTACCTACCTACCTACCTACCTACCTACCTACCTACCTACCTACCTACCTACCTACCTACCTACCTACCTACCTAACATACCTACATACATTCGTACAAACAGTTCAGCCTTAGATACCTATATTTCCTACCTGCCTACCTGCGTGTGTATGGAGTGCATACATAATAGTAAAGCATGCATGCTGTTTTGGGGCATCGTTCCAAAGCTCAAGTGGAGAGGTTGGACACGTTGAGGGCTTTGCGTCAAAGTGGACAGGTTCCCTACGCTTGCCACGCGAGCCACTAGACTACCATATTCATGAGATGTTAAGCTTGAAAATGAAGATAGCCTGGATCCTGTGAGGCGTGGCTCACCACTCCCGATGCACGGAGGTTACCTAGAGCCAAGCCCAAGCTTCATGCCATGCCTAAACCTTCCCGTCAATCCTAGACTCTACCTCCTGTCTCGCACAGAGGCAGGATGCCGCCCCAACACCTGAAGAGTTGTTGTCGCAAAGCGTAGTGAAACTAAGGGACCTCTCATTGTAAGGACCCCGAAGCAGGGCCTCTTCGTCTGGACCCTTGACAGGAGCGAGCAGTACGCAGGGATTCAGGGCAAGGTTTCTTTCCTGCCACCACGGTGTTTCCCTTACCTGCATTTCGACTTCTAAGCTCGCGGTGGCTCCAGAGGGAGGATCTTTCCGCTTTCTGCACATGTGGACACAGCTTTGTTTGAAGAGCACAAGGAATAGCATAAGTTTAAGCAACGCCAAATCACATGACAGCATCACATATCACCTTTTAAAGCCTGAAGCAAGACAAAAAAGTCGTGCACTTCGAATTAAGCTACCTTCGGCACCCCCCGTCGCACCATGAGGCCGAGCCATCCGAGACGCCGAAATCCCTATCTCGTCGTGGCGCTTTGGTGGCCTTAAGTTTACATGAAGCATCGGGATTTCAAAACACTTCTCTTTTCGTGATTTAGGGATTGAAGAAATAGTGTTGTAGGTGTTTTGCGTATAATTGAGGGTTTTGTTTCTTGAGCCTAAAGAGTAGGGTCCATAGATTTTAATGAGATGTCTATCTGATCCAAGCAGTGTTCCTGGATCCCCAGTGGCATCCTAAGAACCGCGGCTCAACGTACCCCTGGAGTTCCGCAATTTCTTGTGCAAGGACGGTCGTGTTCTTACTTTCGGAATTCTGGGCCCAGAACGACACATCTTCAGTGGCTTCGGCCGTTTAGCTCGCAAGTTTGTGAATTTGATGATTGCACTAGACACATTTCCAAGCATCGCATCCTTCCCTTCGCAGGTTGTGGGCTTGGCACCCAGCACAAACGCAGTATAGGTCGGTTGAATTCTTGGGTTACAGTATTTTCTTTGTAGCTGCTTTCTTCGGCCGGACTTGAATTTATGCAAGTGTCGAGTGAATCAAGATTAAGACCTAAGCCCAAGAAATTGTTGCACAGCTGTCGTTCGGTCAAGTTGTGGAAAGCCTGGCCCAGACAGAGCAGTCAGGGTAGTGGCACCCAAGCTGAGGCACCGCATACGCTAGCCTGGGGCAAGATTCTCGTCTACAGGCCGGGCATGCATCAAGATCCTTCAATGATGAAAGAAGACGATCACGACACTTCAATGTCGTAGTCACAGTCATGTGCAGGTTGGTAGTGGTAGGGCAGCGGCACTTAGAGAAGAGTGACAACACAAACAGCTGAAGTGGACATCCATGATACAGACACAGTTGTGCACGCTGTCAACCATTTCTTTGCTGCGGATGCACAGTTCTGAGTGTCACGGCATTTGGAGTAAGTCTTGTAGAATGTTAACCAGGTCTTATGGCACTCTGGTCATGTTTTCCATGGCAGCATTTGAATCGTGAGTTGAAGATTTCTTGACATCCGCTGCTGTGCTTACTTTGCCGACAGATGATTGCTGTCTCATACATATAGCCCTTACAAGCAACACACCTGCGCCGATGTGAACCTATGAGCCCTACACCGAGAGGACAGGGTCTTCAGCCCGGAGTTGCAATGCTCCCCCCAGCCGCTCGCCCGGTATCCCAGGCACAAAGGCCCCTGAAACATTAAAACATTCGCCCACTCCCAGAGACGTATTAATATCTATCGATCTATCTATCTATCTATCTATCTATCTATCTCTTTACGTATATCTACTCGTGTACACACGGACACACATATACACACACGTATGTTTCTTTATTCTGTTTGTGCTGAGTAGCTTCGCGAATGCGGCAAACCATACGAAGAGGCTACGGAGAGCAACATGCACGCACATGCACACGCATGCACCAGCACAAAGAAAGAAACGGACTTACGTATACGGTTTAGGTAATAGTGTGTAGCTGCATGCATGTATGCATGATGTGTGTATATTATATATATATATATATGCATACATACGATGTATAGGTGTATGCATATGCGTATGTATTCGTATACGTATATGTTCATGTTCATGAGCATGTATGTGCATATAATGTATCTGCTTGTCTATACTCTTTACACAAACAACCTCACAAAGATCCGCTACAACACCAGAATTACACTACTGTGTAGTTGCGTCTACATTTGGCGTGCGCAGCGTGGCTTTCTAGTCTTGCAGCAACGGCTTCTTCGCCTTCGGGTCGCCCTTCCCACATACAAGAAGTCGTGCAGTCTCCAACTACAGCTCGGCCAGGATTCATATGGAAGTCTCGAAGCAGGGAGCGGCGGAGCCACTCCCAGCCGAGGTGATACTTGCAGGGTTCAAGATCGCTGGTTCAGTCATCTGTCGGTATGAAGTTTCGTGTCGGGGGGGTCTCTAATCACAAGCAAGCTCGAAGTCTTGAGCCCTGTCGACCAGGGTTTCAAATTCCTTCGCTACTTCTTTGACTTCTCAGTTTCCTGGAAACTGGAAACTTGGATTGCTTGTGAAGGTCTGGTTAAGCCTTCCCTTGACCAACTCCCGTGTTCATGATGGTTTTTCTTAACGTAGGACTTAGGGTGCTGTGAAGAAGTGCTTCATTCTCGCTGCAGCGGTTATGCAGGCGGCCTGCAAAAAGTCCTGACCTGGTGGCACCTGTCTTGATAGTCGGGGTGTGGGTTGCTTGAGACAGTCGTGCGGCATCATTCCCAACCTCACAAGTGTAACACATACCATCACAAGGCCAAGTTTCAGTTCTCCACATCGAGCGAGGGTCGAAGCCCGCCACAATCCAAGACACTTCGTAATCTGTGCAGGTGAGCACTCCACCCCAAAGGCTGCGGGAGCAAGGCAGCACAGTTTGCATTTTGGAACCCAGCCCTCTACATAGGTGTTTCAGGACGGGTGTTGGCCTTGTGAGGATAAGTATACTTGTTTGTTACACGTCCAGCCTATCTGGTGAGCACAACGCATGGTAGCAGAGGGCCATGACTCTGCGGTCTCGAGCCTTTGAGCATCTGAACGTTGGGGCTGTGTAAGCCCGTTTTACAGCTGGTATCCGCCAATTTCGAACTCGCCCCCGGAAGCCCACCTCTTCATGGCCGCCCTGGAAGCCGGGGATAGGATGCTCACGCGGCGACAGACCTTCACCGAAGGTGAGCAACAGTACCCAAGCAGCTCGGACGTGTACTATTGCGGGGCCCAGGGTTTACGTATTGTTCTCGGGTTTTGTGCCGGATGACATGCGACCTTAAAACTTGGAGGCCTTGCCAGGCTTTGTCCGAGTGTGAGTGTCAAAAACTCCAAGTTTCTGTCATCGGCCGAAGCCGTCTGGGCTTTCGGAGTTTCTCTGTCCGAGCTGTTTGCAGGGCTTAAGATCATGCGTATGAAGATGTAAGCTACACCTACCCGGTCTCCCATTAATGGGGCCTTGGCTCGTAGTAAAGCTTAAGTCCGGGACGAGCAAAATAAGGGAACAAGGCTGGAATAAGCTATTTTGGTCTTATAGCATTTTCCGGATAAGATGTGGCAAGGAGGTCTCCCTTTGGACCCAGCTTTAATTTAAAGCAACGTGTGAGTCTCGAGCTTCATTGCGGGGCTACAGCTTGGGGGCCCGACGTCCGTGTTTTCGCTTCACTACGCGGGCATGAGGAAACCATGTAGCCCAGTTTCTGCAGGGGTTTGATGGGGTGCCAAAATGTCGTGTAGGGGCTGTAGAGGGCTTACGAAGCAAGGGCGACAAGAGGCTTCGCTTAGAGGCCAAACTGTATAGTACTCGTAACAACTGAATCACAGCTCCAGCCTCTTCCGAGGCAAGTTCTCGACTTGGACCATCGAACAAGACGAGGAAAACTTGCCAGTGCAGGCTTAGGCTTTGGTCTTGCATTCCATTATGCCCGCTATTGGGCCTTTAACTATTCCTAAACGGTGGAAGCTTGCAAGTTCGCGGGCTGAGTGTCCGAGACTAATCCTAAGCCAAAGCTGAAAAGTAGCATCCCTGTTTTGAATCCAAGAAGAAATCCCCGAACTCTGCAACTCATAAACACGCCCACACATCAGGACACCATGACTGGCGCCTCCTTGGTCGTCAACTTGCTAGCAGACGTCTCTCCTGCTGGTGTTCTGCCTCTGGCCTATGGCATGTCAGGGACAGGTCGCGCAGCTCAGACAGTTTCTCGTAATTCGAAGGTTCAGCGTTTGGGCCAGGCTTTTCCCAGTATGAAGTGCCTTCTCATTTTTGCAGGGTGGGCCCTAATGAGCCGAAGCCTTGTTCGTACTTGTCGCACCCCTTCTGGAAATCAATCTCGTGTGCTTCGGCATCAAAATATGATGCGTCGGAAGGTTGAAGCAGCGAGATTGGTTTGGACTCCTTCTTCGGTCTTTCGGGTTTGTAGCCGCAAAGTTGATGCCGGAAGCTTATTGGGTTGTAATTTGATAGCCGTGCCGTATGTCCATGTGAGGCTACATCCCCGCCGTCGTGTTGCTGATGCTGCCACAGACTCAGCCGAAAGGCTTCAAAGATTCGGAGCCGTGTGGTTCAGGCTGCTCTTTTCGACATAGTTGGAACATACTGCAAGCTTTTCACAAAAGTCGACCGAGTAATTCACTCGAAAAAGCTTGCTACCACATCTCGAAGCATTTGTGGCTGTACTACTGCCATGAATATCTTGGCTGCCATGACGCTCGCGGTACCATGTGAAAATTCGCTCAGAGAGCGGTAGGACCGGTAGGACATGCCAGGCGTGTGCTCAAGATCCTGGTTCGAAAGCGTGCCATGAAAGCCAACTCGGGTCAGGAGGGTAGCAGTTTCTTGAAGAGAGAGAACTCATGTTTGCTGACTCTGCCCCTTCTTATGCGTAGCAGTTCGCATGGTGTCCCCGGATTAGCCTCCGGGGCACGATGGATTCTGGCTGAAACTTCCAAGGTTTGCCTGTGGTGCTGGCTACTCCATGTATCTCATCTCTAGGACGATCGAGATCTCAGGTGCGGGCCTCATTGCTTGCATGCTCCTAAAAAGAGCTCAGAGAAACGTGCACAGATTAAATGGGGCGTGCCAGAGTGCGGCCACCGGCCTTTGAAAGTGGAGAAGCGTCAACATCCCACCCAAGCAGTCATGGAATCAAAGCCATACTGCGAACGAATTCAGAGATTGGCACTTTTTCAATAAGGAGGTTTGAGCGTTTCAGAGAGATACCGAGAAACAGAGAGAGAGAGAGAGAGAGATATCCATCCCTCAAGCCCTGCATGGAAAAGAAGAGCCATGCTAGCACTGTTTGCGGGAAGGAGTCTGCAACTCCCAGTAACATGCTTGACGTTCGTGTCTTTGCTTGTGCAGACTCCGACTTGCCGACTTCGCCTTGGGGGGTGGGGGTCAGTGACACGACCCCTAAAGCCCCAGAGAAAGACAGCAAAAACGGCAGTTCCTCTGACAGGTGCCATGCAGAGTTGGGTGCCTGGGAGGGTAGTTCAAGCCTTCGCCCGTACTATGTTGCAAAGCCTTCAGCAATTGGCTTGGAAGGGGTGAAGAGCTACGATCGGATCTGGGAGCGCTGCATTGGTGAAAGGAGCCACCCTGGCAGCAGGCAGTGTGACTTCGGTGTAAGCTTGCAGAAGTTCGTGAGGTTTAAGGAGATTGTTGCGGAGAGGATCCCGGCGCAGCTATCCCACACACCATTACTCCGAAGGATGCAAAAGAGCCCATGGTCCAAACTTAACATGAAGAGGAGTACGACAGATATGCAGCTATGAAGGCTTTACTTTCCTAGCCCACAACATAAAATCTAGGCCTCCGCATCTAGCGTTTCTGCAAGAGAACATGGTGGATAGCAGACTTCAGATTGAGGCAGGGTACACATGGTTCGCAGATTTTTGACCATCAGGTTCTTGAAGCAGAAGTTCTCAGGACTGGGGCTGTAGGAATTGCCAGGTTTCGGATCCAAACCAAGGTCCACCAGTCTGCCAGCTCGTTTTCGCACTTTCGGTGTCACTGGGCATTTGTGCCGGAAGAGCTGAGCTGACAGGAACAATAGCCTTCGATAGCCTCCTTTCGCCGCAGCTGTGATAGTCTGGCAGAAGAGCTATTCAAGTATGAAGCCCACAGGCTATCTTGTAACATTTTGGATATTATTTTGTATGTATACGTGTCTGGCGATATATGTGTTAATTACTAACGCAAAGAGTCGATTCCAGCGCCGTAGCTGTAAACAGTTCGGAAGCAGGAAACATAGCCAAGATTACCCAAAGAGAACTCCAGCATGTCCTCAAGTGGGGAGTGGAGTGGCACAATGGGGAGATCCAGATTTTTCTCCTCCGCATCTGCAGTGCTGCGACAAACGAGACACTTGGCTGTCTGTTTGGTAGTCCCTTGCTGTGAACCGTTGGCCTTGGATTTAGACTTCGCCATAGTGTTCTGCATGGTCTTGGAGTGCACATCAACTGGAGGGCTTGAAATACGAATCGTGAGCCAGGAATGAGCATGAGCTCGAGCGACCAGCGAAATCTTGACCCCGTCCCGCCGGAGCGGTGGTGCGTGACAAAGCACGACTTGGAAGACACACGGGCCCATTTAGACTTGAAGTTGCATACTCGGCTCAGGCCGTGATGGGAGGGAGGTTCAGCTTCCCACTTCAGGTGTACCGTTCTACAGAGTTCCGAGGACTTCCAGAGCGAAGTGATGGTGGCACTCCGGCAGAAGAGGATCACGCCGCCCCCATCCGATGGTGGCTTTGACAGTTATGGTCCAAGCATCTATGCAGTTACGGAGCAGTACATCAAGCCAACCACCCAGGGGAAATATTTCAGTTGGGCTCTGAAAAAGCATCCGGATGGCCTGGACTGTGACGTCTTCATTAGCCATGCTTGGCAAGAGGGCATCTTCGAGTTCCTGGAGAAGGTGCCTAGGCCTGTGACCTGAGGTTCTTTTTTCTGGGCTCCTGAGTTTGGCTTCATCGTCATCCGAATGAAAGCTGGAACCTAGGTACTGAACTCATGGCCAAAACCTGCGCGGAATGCTTGGTGTTGCATGCTGGCAAATCCCCAGAATTTGAACATCGCGGTGTTGCTGCGATCACCAAGACAATCACCCTTTGCCTGTGCATTGGAGCAGGCTACGTACGTGCTTGCGGTGCCCAACCGCAAAAGCAGTATTTACACGCGGCTTCTAAGCCAGTGTTCAGTTTCGTGTTGATTTTTTGTGGCTTGGGAGCCCGTAAACCGGATCCCTTCTTTCTCTTCCTTCTCACGGGGACTCAGGCTTTGGTGTGCATACGAAGCCCATCTTGCATCAGAGCAGGGCAAGGTCGTTCTTATTGCAAGAAGGCCCATTGGACATGACTTTTTGCAAGCTGTGCCAATGCTCATGGTGGCGACTGCATTTGGTGCAGTCCTCGGAATCGTCATCCGAAATTTTACAGAGGCTCGCGATCGCATGGGTGCAAACCTGGCCACAATTATTCTCCTTGTGGCCGTTCTGTTGCTGGGTACCCTTGTCCACGGCCCGCAGAAGCGCCGTGCTATGAATCTCTGTGGAGTTGCTTGCTCCGCGTGCTTGTTCTTCTCCTGGCTAACACGTCACTTTTGGCTTCCTTTGCCAACAGGATCTGAGATTGTGCCTAAGATCCTGCAACATTGGACTATAGCCATTGCACTTTGCGCCTTCTGGATGGCCGAGGCTGGCTGCGTCCACATGAGGTCTTCCCAGCGGTCAGGTCTTGCTTTGTGATTCAATTAAGAAGCCACGTCTTCCATATCTCGGGTACTTGAGGTTCAAGCCGGTTGTGAAGTGGTTTCTTGAGGAAGTGTAGAAGGAGCACTCAGGGCATATCGGGCATAGCGAAGTCCCGCTGGTAATTCCAATCATTCTGCAAGTGCGTCTGACTAGCGCAGAATTAAGCCGTAGAGTCGTAGAGTCGCAGAGCCAGCCAACATGCTGGGCCCCCAATCCCAACAATGATTAAGCGACCACAGTAAGGCTACAGGTAGCCAATATCGGTGGTCAATTTTGCCTTCAGAGGAAGGCTTTCCGCTTGTTGAGTAGATGGCTCAGAGCCTCGGGGACAGACCTCCTCCGAAGGTGGACCGGATATGCAGCGAATCGCTCGAAGAGGAAGCGGTGCAGTTGAACCGTGGGCTGGAGGCCAGACTCCTTCTCAATTTAATTACTCGTATGATATTTCTGATATTGGATGAACAATGTGAATAACAATCAACTCAGCTGCAGACCCCAATAGCAAACAGAAGCTGCCCTGTCTTGCCAAAGTGCAATCAGCACAGGGACACGCACTGGCACCTTGTGCACGTAGACATGCATCACAGTTATTGATGTTATTGCGACGTTCCTTTGTTAGAATCAGACAGCGGTTCTCTGTCGCCATGATTAGTGCGCTCCCGATGACGACCGCTATCCAGTGACATTTCATGCACACAATATCGGTCCCTATGCCGCCCATCACTCGAGCATACCTTTCATCAAAGCGCAGAAACAACACCAACCCAGTAGACATCATGGTTCTGGTACTTCGAAAAATGGCCATCGGCTAATGATCAAAGCATCCTGGCTCCTGGTCAGGACCAAGCGTCTGTCGAGTTTGCAACGTGCACCCAGGAATCTGATGCTGTCCAGATTCGGGCGGAAATAGGCGATTCTTTCTACCAGGCGGATGTTAAATACAGTCAAGGAGACTCGGGCGTTCGTTCGGTCTTGTCGTACTGACATGTTGTGTTCTGCTTGCTGGAAATGATTGTTCGGATGGTCAAAAGCTCTGTGTGGTAGCCGAGGCCTTGTGAGTGACTTCAAGATATCAGCCCTAATGTAGGCCCTAATGGATTTAGGCGTCCGTTTCGTGGCTAATGGTGCAGCGGCTCACGGGTGTGCAGTGTAGCATTCATGTAGCTATTTTTGTTCATGCCGCATCTTTTGGTGATAATATGCCGCCGCTGCAGTGCTTCCGGTGATGGTGTGGGTGTACACCGGTGTGGGCATTGGATTGACTCTCTTGGCTCGAGGTCCAGTTATTTCTCTTGCTGGAGATTCTTGTAACCCTCAGAAGCCCAAAGTCAGGGAGAATGCATCTAAGTCTTTGCCGAACTCAAAGAAAAGCGGCCCGGTCTGCCCTGGGGCCCTCTCACCTTCTCTAGTTATTTCTAAAACACAGTAAGCCCCTATTGCCGAGGCACACTAAGATCCACCTTTTGGGTGACCCCGAGGTGGATCACTCTATCAGCGTGCTTCTCTCTGCCGGAATGTCCACGCCGACGCTGCGGTCCATCGCGGATGCAGGACACCCCAGCAACTACGCATCCCGAGCCGGCAATGCGCTGTCAGGGCTATTAGAGTAAAGGTTTGATGCACTCAACGATTTGCCATTTCTGCCGGAAGCCTGTGTAATCCGCTACTGGTAACTTTCGAAATGTAATTGTAATTGCGCCGTAGTCCTTAAGATCGAAGATCGTCAATGTCGGCTCTTGACCCTGCTCAAGCTCTCAATAACGAGAGTCCGGAGCCCCAACGGGTTTGCTCCTACCACCTTCGTTGGCGAAGATCACACCGAGCCGATATAGCCAGGGCAAAGAGGATGTCCCCGTGCGAATTTTGCCTACACTGGCACGACTGCAAGATGGTTTATACTGGGGTCAATGATTCAAGCTTCAGGCGTGCCTAAATTGTACCAGCGGCGTCCGAGCTCTCGGTCCGGCAGTTGTGTCGAGACTTCCGGCGGTGTGACATCCTCCTAAATAACCGAATAAGCCCAACGAAAGTTCGATTTTGCACAGCCATGCCGTGCAGCATACTGCGAAGAAATGACATGTACACGCCTCCTGAGCGGCTCGCTTGGCTGTTCGAACATGGGTTTTGCCGTTCAACTAATGCACAGCTCGCATGGTTGGAATTTCTCAAACATGGTAATCATGTCTGCTTACCGAGATGCGTGTGTAGCATGTTACCATTTCATTTTTCAGTGTTGTTGAGTCGAGTGGCCCCTGTGAGAAGCAACCGGCCGAGAGTTCGCTCTGAGCAAGTTGCAAGCAGGCGTCAACATTGATGGCGCTGGTCACTACGAGATCACAGTGCCCTTCGTGCTCTTTGCCTGCACCTTCGAGTTTGTTGGCTGTTGATGTGTTGAATGTTCAGGGGTGTGAGTACTGAGTTGACCTTCAAAGAATGTTGCAGTGGTGGACTGTTAGACG